GTAGGTGACCCTGCTTCGGCAGGGGGGTTGGACTAGATGACCCACAGAGGTCCCTTCCAACCCCTACTATTCTGTGATTCTGTGATTCCCATAAGTTATTTTGCACTCATTAAAAAAAAAAGGCGTGTGTGTATGTGTATATATTATACATATATTCTGCTCTACAGAATGTGAAGATGTGAAAGACTGAATCAGATAAGCTATTCCAAATTCCCTTTAAATTTTGAAGGGTGATTTTGTGCTGGATCTTCTACCGCGGCGATGAGGAGTCAAGCGAGAACAGAGGCGGGCAGAGATGTCAGGAGGCGTGGAGCTGTGTTGACAGGGCTGTGCAAACACCGGGCGACCCAGTTATCTCTGAGCTGGAGCTGGGTGATCCTCGTCGGCGGGTCAGCCGAGAAAGCGTATTTTTTTCTCCTCTGTGCAATGTAGGTCCTGTGGTGAGGGGGATGAAGCCAAGGAATTGGTCTTTCATGAGGCACTGGCTGGCCACCCAGAGGGACCTTTGGCGTGGTCCTCTAAATGGAGGTTGGCCTTGGTGGAAGATGTGTTATATCTTAGCAGGAGTGCTTTGGAAAAATACATTAAAAGCAGTAACTGTGCCATTTGGAGGGATAATGACTTTTTATGGCAATACAGCTCTTCCCAATGTGTAGCTCTCCTTCCCGCTGTATTTATAGAATCATAGAATGGTTTGGGTTGGAAGGGACCTTAAAGATCATCTGGTTCCAACCCCCCTGCCATGAGCAGGAACATCTTCCACCAGCCGCGGGCGCTCAGAGCTCCCTCTAAGCCTCCTTAAAGTACTGAAAGCCCACAATAAGGTGTCCCTAAGAGTCTTCTCTTCTCCAGGCTGAACAGCCCCAACTCTCTCAACCTTTTCTCAGAGGAGAGGTGCTCCAGCCCTCAGATCATTTTTGTGGCCCTCCTCTGGACCCGCTCCAACAACTCCATGTCCTTCTTATGTTGGGGACTCCAGAGCTGGATGCAGAACTCCAGGTGGGGTCTCATGAGAGCGGAGTAAAGGGGCAGAATCCCCTCCCTCGCCCTGCTGGCCACGCTTCTCGTGATGCAGCCCAGGATATGGTTGGCTTTCTGGGCTGCAAGCGCGCATTGCCGGCTCATGTTGGGCTTCTCATCCACCACGGACCATTTAGCACGGACCTGGCTCATTTCCACACGGAGCTCGTCCTCGGGGCCTCCTAGCATGGGACCTTCTGTTTGCTGTGGCTGGAGAGCAAAACACACCCCACGCCAGAGAAGCTGCTGTGTGCGCTAGGTCACAGATGGGGTTAGAGAGGTGCTGTTCGCTGTGCCTGCTGCCTAGGATTCGTGGCTTCTGGCTTAGCTACAGAGACATGCTGAGGACACGCTGTCTAACAAGAACCTGAGTTTCTAGAAAAAAATGTGATGAAACTAATTCAAAATTTCCTCCCAGCTATCCTTTTGCTACTGCTTCTTATCAAAACATTTGAGAGTTTTTCATTCGCTCGGCTCCGTTGATGCCGTGGAAAGCTGGAATTGAAGACCTAATAATTGGAATACTATTAAGCAGGGATTCCTTATTGCGGCACCGGGCACACGGGGGATCTCTCCTCCAAACGTGTGCACCAAACACCCTGTCATTTCAGGTTAAATACACTCACAGTATACATATTCATTATATTTTGGAGAAATGCTTGGCAGATTCATGACTTTCACAATAACTAATTAGCATATGTTAATATCTTTCACACGTCTGTTAGTGTCCTTGGGTGGTCTTTGGGGGTCTCAAGGTGAAGGCTTATACTCCTCATCACAGTGTCCGCTGGCTGACCTTTGTTTCTGCACTGGCTCAGTTCTAAGATCCCACATACCATGTCCTTCCAGGTTGTTTGGCTCTGGTCTTGTTGTCCTCTTGGTGCCTCTGTCTCTCTGTAGCTCGGTGCATCTTCCCTCCCAAGGCCGAGCTGTCCAAATAACATTATTTAGGAGTCTCTCTATCTTAGAGCTTTCCTATCCCCCCCCAAACAGCGAGTCAAGTTTGTCTAAGTAGCGTTATTTAGGAGCTTCTTTATCTTAGAGCTTTCCTGTCTTCTCAAAACAGCAAGGATCTACTTTAGTTTAATTGCAATCACTCTAGTAGTGGAAATTTTACATTTAGAGGTATCACCATGTTTCTTTATTTCTTTAGGCTGTGGCTCATCGCTGAGCCTGACTTCTCAGAAGGCCACCGATGCAGTGGACAACATCTTTCGGTCCCTCAGGGATATTGCAAGAGCTCGAATGCATCTGAAGCAGTTTAATTCCATACATAATCCGGGCAGCAACACCCACCAGGCAAGTGGATCTTTGTTTTCTCTGTGTGTGTTCCTTCTCTAGCATGCTGTCAAAATTACAGCGCTCGTTTTGCTGATGTGCTAGTGCTGTACGCGTTCTGCCCACGGGGAAGATATTTAAGTACAGATTTTACAACTGACCTAATCGTCAAGACCTTCGTGGAGTCCTTCATCCAAACTCTGGCATATCCGTGTCAGTGCCAAGGAAGAATTACCAGAGGAAGCAACGAGGGGTTTGCTCTGCAGCTCTGCGATGCGCCATACAGAATCACAGAATCACAGCATGGTCAGGGTTGGCAGGGACCTCTGTGGGTCACCCAGCCCAACCCCCTGCCCAAGCAGGGTCACCCAGAGCAGGCTGCACAGCACCGCGTCCAGGCGGGGCTGGAATATCTCCAGAGAAGGAGACTCCACAGCCTCCCTGGGCAGCCTGGGCCAGGGCTCCGTCACCCTCAGAGGGAAGAAGTTCTTCCTCATGTTCAGCTGGAGCTTCCTCTGCTTCAGTTTGTGCCCATTGCCCCTTGTCCTGTCGCTGGGCACCACTGGAAAGAGTCTGGCCCCATCCTCCTGACACCCACCCTGCAGATATTTAGAGGCATTTCTAAGGTCCCCTCTCAGCCTTCTCTTCTCCAGGCTGAACAAGCCCAGCTCCCTCAGCCTCTCCTCGGAGAGATGCTCCAGTCCCCTCCTCATCCTCGTAGCCCTCCGCTGGACTCTCTCCAGTAGCTCCTTTTCTTGTTAAGACTTAAGAAAAGGTTTCTACAGAAAAGTAAGTGAGAATTGGATAGCATCTTAAAAGGACTTTTTGTAGCACTGAATTTTATGTGTCTTACCTAAAATGATGCTTTCATCAGGTTGTCAAACCAGTTCATGTAGCAACCGTGCCAAGAGGAGAATATTTATATTACCTGATATTGTAACTGCTGTTCTTTTCCCTTCGTCTTGATCTGAAGTGTGTTCCTCCCTCCCTCCTTCCCTTCCTCCATCCCTCTCTCCCCCCCTCCCTCCTGCCATCCCTCCCTCTCCTTTCCTCATTCTCTTTCTTTCTCTCTCTTTTTCTCTCTCCTTTTCTCCTCACAGTCTTGTCTGAAGTACGTCCCATAGCCATCGAGGTTTTTAACAGCTGTTTTAAGCACAATTTGTGCCCCACGAAAATTTAAAGCTGATCAGAGTTTCATTCTGTAAGTTAGAAATCAATGCAGCTGTTGGGGGTCATGTAAAAAATACCATAAAAACTCCCTAAAAATGTAATACCGGTGTTTAGAATTTTAAAAGATTTTGAAAATATTTGAAACAAGCATGGTTAAAGAAGGGTAAGTGACCACAGTATCTGCCTTTTAGTACCCGTGTAGCTGAACTGGATCATTTTGAAGGGCTCTGAGTTTTTGGTGCTGAAAAAGCAGACGTGCGAAATCATAGCACATTTTTAACATCTTTTGAGTGCATAGCTTTGTCTGAAGTCCGATAATCTCTTTCCTTTAATTTTGTGCGGTAAGCCTCTCTGTTTAACTGCGATTTCATCTCTGCTCCAAAAATATTTCATTCCTAACGTCTTTCTGTTCCTCATCTACGAAGATACTAAGCAGATTTTTATACACAGGACTTCATGCCCGCATGCATGGTATTTTCAAACCGTTGTTTCTTGCGTGACTGGATTTGACACAAATCTTGGCACGTTCCCCTAAAAGATCCTGCGGCTCATGTCTGCTGTAATTCGCTTTGTTGGCTCAATTAAACATTGTGCGCGTGTGGTGAGAAGAACTGGATGAGTTGTATAAATCTCCGTTGACAGGATTGTATTCAAAAAACTCTGAAGTTTTGTTTCTCGCTGTGAAGTGTTGGATGAAAAACATTTCTTTAATTACTCCAGAAATTTTTTGTCTCAAGCCAAGTGGCTTGCTTTTAATTTTCCATCGTTTTTATGTTTATCCTGCACGATGTTTCTTGTGCGTAGCATCTTTACAGAATGAATGATGTTACGCTCGATTCCCGTCAGAAATCTAGGGGATGATGTATACCTGGGCTAGTCCCAAAGGAAAACAAATGTATGGATCTGAAAGCTGCTGATTTGCTGGGACTGCTGTGCTTGCTGGAGTGATTGGAGTTCAGTCGCAGTTTGGGCAAAGCTGAAAGCAGCAGAGCAAGATTCCGTCTGTAAACCAAGAATTTTCGTTAAAGAGCATCTCTCCACAAGTCCAGAAAATTTTTGTCTTAGTAACTTTTTCAGGACGGCAGGGTGGTTTAAACCTTGAACATGAGGAAGAACTTCTTCCCTCTGAGGGTGACGGAGCCCTGGCCCAGGCTGCCCAGGGAGGCTGTGGAGTCTCCTTCTCTGGAGATATTCCAGACCCGCCTGGACGCGGTGCTGTGCAGCCTGCTCTGGGTGACCCTGCTTGGGCAGGGGGTTGGGCTGGGTGACCCACAGAGGTCCCTTCCAACCCCTACATGGAAACATGGAAATTTCCAGGCTACTAATTCATATTCGGCACAAGTCTGTAGACCCAGATGAGGATGCAGGGTGGATCCTTTGGAAGTGGCTCTTCCAGGATAACGACCATTTGGACCTCTACACGTTCCGCTTTCTGTGGTCCCTAACTTCTCTGAAGCCCTGACATGCATATCAGTGGGGTTGTGTGGCCTATTTTTCTCAAGGTTTTCCGCAGGTGGAAGTATTATGTAGAGCGGCCTGGCCACAGAAGCTCAAGAACCAACAGGGACTCCATCTCTCTGCTCTCCCATGAGACAAACTGAAGCAGAGGAAGTTCCAGCTGAACATGAGGAAGAACTTCTTCCCTCTGAGGGTGACAGAGCCCTGGCCCAGGCTGCCCAGGGAGGCTGTGGAGTCTCCTTCTCTGGAGATATTCCAGACCCGCCTGGACACGGTGCTGTGCAGCCTGCTGTGGGTGACCCTGCTTGGGCAGGGGGTTGGACTAGATGACCCACAGAGGGCCCTTCCAACCCCAACCATTCTGTGGTTCTGTGATTCTATGAGGGATGGACAGGCAGGTCGGCCTCTTCCCACCCCTGCTGATATCCAGGGGATAGGCAGGAGCGGTCAGTAAGCAACTCCTCCTAAAAGTCCCCGATTCAGTGTTTGTAAAATCATCACAAGGGGAGTGAGATCTTCTGGGTGCCCATCATCTGAGATGAGCAGCAGAGCGTCATCCCTACTGCCGAATGGTTTCCTTTCTAGGATAATGATTTTTGTCGCCTTTGATGGAAATTAAACATTTAGAAGAGCAGATGCACCAAGTCTGAACAGCCTTACTCACAGCACGTTGTTCTTTTCGTGCAGGCTTCTTACAAACCTCTGCTGAAACAGGTAGTGGAAGAGATCTGTAACCCTGATCGACCTGATCCTGTCGATATCGAGCACGTCTCATCAGGCCTCACCGACCTCCTCAAAACTGGATTCAGCATGTTCATGAAGGTAAGCCAGGCTTCCCAAGCTGAGGTGTAAGGTTTTCCTGAGGTCGTAGCACCGTATGGCAGTAGCTGATTTTACGTATTTGGGTCGATATTGTTCAGCAGAACTTAAGGGGTGGTTAGGAGAGTTAAATCCTGGCAGAGGGGCTGGGGGTAGCTTGAGGCACCATGTTGCGGGTACAGTACAGATGGGTAGAAC